ACACGTGAATGGAAGAGAGACATCGTTAGTGTTATGACATACACCTGTGTTTTTCCTGCTCCAATTAGTCCAAAGGTCGACTGTGAAAAAAGCCTTTTCCGAACAGACCCCCCCCCCCCCTAGTTTGTCCTCAAGTACACCTGCTGGTTTGCAGGCAGCAATGCTCCCTCACTTATTTTTCTCAGTGTGGTATTACATCTAGAAATGTCAAAAAATAAGTTATTGAGCCGTTTCTCCTCCGTCTGCCCTCAAAAACTTGTGAACAGCCGAGCGCTCTCAGCAGCCTGCAAATGGAAGAACGGCTCCAAATATTTGTCTTGACGACTGACTCTAAATCTGGAGGTCTCTGCCAATTCCCTCTCCCAGCATTAACAACCGCTCCGTTACGGCCCCGCAATATCAGCCATTTGGTTTAATCCAACACGGCTAGTTTGTAATCCACGATAATCAAAAAATATAGCCTACGTCTGAGGAACACTGAGAAGTTAAATCCATCGAGGACTGTCCTCATTCGGTAATAAGGCCGATTTAAACATTTCACTTTGATGCTGCTTGCATAAATATCTGAAAAGTCACGGGCAATTATTTCGTAGAAACTGTTTTGAAAGGATGAACTATTCGAGTTTAAAAAAAGAAAAGAAGTGACACAGCTGACACATGACAACTGAATAACTTGCAGTACATTGACATCATGAGCGAGGCATATGGAGAAGTACACGCTCTAGATATTTTTGGCAGATTGCACTTAATAGTATAGTATCTGCCATTAATGGCTGCAACTAGAAGTTTATCTATCAACTAGTTTTATCATCTTATTCATCTCTGATTAGTTTCACAATTAATCGTTCTAATATTTAGTCTATGAAATGTCCATCAGAGTTGAAACATCTCAAAAAAAGTTTTTTATTTTTCAATTATATAACAATATAACACAGGTAGAAGCAGCTAATCCTCCGTTTTTCCTTAAAAGATGACAAACGATTATTAAAAAGCTCATCGACGATCACCAAAATTGTTGGTGATCGGTGTTTTTTTATCTATCGACAAATTGTTTTGGCTCCACTATCATAAGTTTTATTGACACATTGCGCTTATAAAACTCTTCCCCCTTCAACCTGGCTTCCCCCTGCACACACTTTACAGAGAAAACTGCTAAATTAACACACAAACGCTGAAATCCTGCCCTCCTAACAAATAAATCCTCGTGTTATCTCTCCATAGCAGCGGCAGCAGCCTCGCTCGCCGTGTCCTTCTGAGAGCTCTTCCTCTCCTCCTCCTGTGCATGCTGGCGTCGACTCAGCCCGACAACAGCTGCCAGAACCCCGCGAGCTTCGTCCTCCAGACACTGATGGATTGTGGGAGGGGAGCCAGGGCGATTAGCCCCCCCTGACACCAGAGAATTATTTGCTATGTACCACCCCAAAACAGATTGCACCCGAGTGTCAGCGCAGGGCATTCGCACTACTTTCAGTCGTGTTGTTAGCGGCCATTCGACCGTACAAATTCACTGGGCTTGAAATCAACGTGTCAACAAGTGGCAAGTGTGTGTGTGTGTTTGATTTGTTTAAAAGAAAGTACTGACAATCTAAATATCCACTTTCGCCCTGCAGCTAAGTTTATTTTTAACCGTTTCCTTCACATGAGGCACTTACCTTCAACTTGACAGTGACATGCACTGACTAAGGCCCACTGGAGGGAGGCAAATGGTGCTTCTATTTGAGGAAATACATCGCTGCTTGGAAAATGAATTAGCTGAGAAATCCCACTGCTCGACTAGCAGTTATGGCAGACAGAGCTGCTGTTTGCTTACTGTGCCAAAAGTAAAACCAGTCCTGCCATCTCTCTTCTTCCCAGCGTTTCTCTGCTCCGACTGCCACATCTGTTCCAGTCAGTACTTTCATTCACGCCATTCAGTTCTCTCCTGCGTATTGCAATAACTAAAATACAAACACAACATCTTGCCGTCATTCAATAAGTGTACAGAGCGATCTGTCCGAGGTTAATGTAGCCTAACTCCCCCAGGCTCTCAAAGCAGATGTTCATTAGAGAAGAGGAGCTTCGGGAACACTCGGCTGTCCGAGTGGAGTTAAACCTTGCCACTCTGTCAGACGAGAGCGGGACAGTTTGACAGAATGCAAGTCGAGAGTCGGGCGGCTCGAGTCGATGATTCATCCAGACCCTCGTTACAAGGACGTGGCAATCAATGGCTGAGTCTCAAAGTTCAACAGCACAGACAAATTCTTCTCACTCTGGACTGTGAAACTTTTATCGGAATAAAATCACAAATCAGGGCTGCAATAAAGAAGCATACTTGATCCCTGACACCCCTGCTGTTCCTGCTTTGACAATTCTAAATGTCTTCCATGTCCATTAAGAGTAGGATTCATTGATGAATCTTAGGCCACGCCCACACCTTTTGTGGACTGTTATCAGATGAGGCCTTATATCTCACTGTCTCAGGTGTAACTACTGACATTAATAATGGATGCACTTCATTTACACCTGCACTAACTACCTGCTGGGGCCCAAAGCGACCGTAAGAGAGCTGCGACAGTGAATCAAAGCAGTAACGTTCAGGGCGGAGAGCTCAACAATGTTGTGAAACTTGATTTTAAGGCCAAGAAAGCGCCTTTCGAATTACTATCTAGCAGCTCAATGGGATTTATTTTTTGTAGTTCCAACTATTAACATCCGTCGCTGGCTAACATATTCTACATTATTCAAACAGTACAAATGTTACTGGAATGGAATCTATATGAAGCATCAGGCAGATGTCCAATTATTAAATGAGGTCAGCACATCTACAAGCATCTGATCACATAATTAAATGCTGATTTTGCAATTATTCTGCATTGTGGCATTTGTTAAATACCGTGGGACCACAACGGAAAAACAATGCCCCTCTGAGAAAAAGATCAATACCCTCGTCCTCAATGGGACTCATAAAGTCACATTAATGCATGCTGTGGTCCAACCTAACATAACAGGGGGGGGGGGGTTCAAATCACACATTTGTCTAAATATTAACAAGGTGATAATTATAAAAAACACATATGACAGCTTTTGGATAGAGCTACATTAACTGAGTTTGTGTTAAATCTATCTTTAAAAAAATAAAAGCCTTTTGCTTAGTTCACCGTTTACAAACTGTATTACATACTTCTGCCGTTTATATCTCAGTGCAGAAAAAGAATGCCTCCAACTACAAACACCCATCTGAAACCAAACCAACGCTAGCATCTGCTGCGATACGTTCACAAACCGTAGCACTGACTTTACGACAAAAACTACAATCCACACCACTGTCTGGGGTAACACGGGCACTGATCTAATCGTGCACGACAAATATAGCTGACAAGATAACAAAACTAATTAGGAATGTTAGAACGGGAGTGAGGAAAGAGGATGCAATCCAGACAGTGATTAATCTCGACATCTTTGACATCAGATGAATATTTTGTGTTACTTCTTAGTTTTCTCTATATCATCAGATTCAGGACATATGTTCATGCTCAGCGACTTTATGTTCCCACCAAGTTTGAGATAATAAATACATACAATGAAATTGACTCGTATATTCAACTCATTATCTGTTATGTATTGTGTGATTTGACAAAAGCATCCTCCTGTCAAGTAAAAAAAAGCACAAATCATGCTCCGATGATGCACACAGCCGCAAATACCCTGACCACACAGCTGTGGTATGACCGCCGTTAAGTGACTTTGGGCTCAGAAATCGTAGTGATTTACTGGTTACTGAAACGTGTCATAAAAGCAATGCCCCTGACAGGGAACCTCAGTGTCCCCACTAACATCCTAAGCATTAAGCCTTAATATAGGCCACTGGGGTGCATTTCCCAAAACTACAAGAGGCTGGCTCACGCCATTCATCTCTTATTCTCTGGATTGCTGTGACGCATCTGTGCAATAAATCAAACCTTCAGGTAGGTTGTAATGGTCCAATTTTGGGTGTTTCTGATATTTAGTCAATTCTCATTTATATAGGGACAAAAAGGACAAAATACAACTTATTCTTTTTACATTTTAAACTATATTATATGGAATCAATACAGTATGAATGAGCAAGCAGTAATACCGGATGATTTCCTCTATGGCGAGTAGATCAAATACATTATTACAGTTATTGCTACCTTGCTCAATGGCAAAGGTACAACATGACTGACAGAGCAGCATGTCGAACGTGTTCTCCACATTGTCAGAGACCCTAACCTTTGTCCGACCACAGCAAACACAACATCCATTTCCAAATTCTTAGCCCTATAATGGAGTAGTCATTAATAATCGCAGTATTAACAGTGTTCGTGTATCACCATGTGTCACAGAAAACAATCGTCGGTTTATAAAAAAAAAAAAAAAAAAAAAGCATGTTGACTCAACAAGATGCTCATCGTGGTTTTCTTAATTGGCGAGCATCATCATGCCAGTATTTATGCTTGGCAATAATCAAGTCGACATTTAATTGTCCGTTTTTATGAATGGAGTTAGGCGTGACATTTTACTCGTTATAAAAGAGCGGCACGTTACGGGGGTTGTGGAGGGGCCCACATTAAAGAACGTGTTTAGACTCCCAACATGTGTGGCAGTCACATGCGGACTACAAATAGCGTCGGTCTGTGTCATGCAAGTTAACATCGCTTTGGTTGACGTGTGCCTCAGCCCGTGTTCAAAGCAAAACAGACTCACGACTTGCAGCGGCTCCGGGAGAACGACACAACTGCACGAAAGTCTTGATACAAACTACCAACCTTTTATAGTCACACCTGTTATAATACCCCGCATTTAAAACACAATGAGGACAGTGGACACCACGACTATTGTGTTGGTTATGGTCCGGCGGGGGGTTGCAGGGGGAAAGACACAAGGGGCCATATGTCTCATCTGGCCAATTAGCTAGCCTGCTAGCGAGCACACGAACATCACAAAATGCTTTTGCTCTCAACTACACTGGCAGACCAGCGTTAGCTTCGGTCGCTACTCACCCCAGCAGAAGAGTCGAGGATGTCCTAAAAAACTGAGTCACAGCCGCGTGGCACGTTTGTCAAACCGTCAAAAACCCTGCTGTGCTGAATCTAAACGACTACAGTCACCGGACAAGCCTGCGGTGTTGCTGCGTTTTTCGGTTCGCACCGCTCACAGCACCATTAAAAGCTGCATTGTTGGAGCGACGGCTGCACAAACAGCGCCGACAGCGCGCCGCAAGGAATTGTGGGAAACGGTGTTTAATAAACGTGTCGCTCAATTACATGAATTATTGGGGGAAATGCTCCACCAAGTGGTCAACGTGAAAAACAAATACATTTATTTATCATTATGAGGTGTGTGGGAAGTTGTATCAGCAGAGCTTGCTGAAACTCAGAAATATCATATTGAAGAAATTCACTTTAACTTAACTTAAGACATGTAGTATGAAACTAATGTATATAAAAATATCACTGACCAAGTTAGATACAGGATCTGCTAATATGTGCTCATGTCCAAATGTAAGAGTACAGAAACAAAAAGCTTCTGTTTGTTAATATTAAGCAAAACATAACTTAGTTATTATCTGTTAGAAATGTGTTATTAGTCCACAACTCGAGCTTGATAGACCATCTTCATCTTGCAATGTCTTAAGGACAAATAAGGACAAATACTCGACTATATTTACTGATGTCCAAATGTATTTTTTTGTGCTTTGTTTGCTTATTGCAAATTATATTATTATCATTGTTTCTTCTTTTCAATCATTTCAGTCATGTACGCCCTACTGTGTTCTTGAGTTATTATTCTCTGGCTGCTCGCTTGTGTATGTGTGTGTGTGTATTGGATGAACTACTTTCAAAAATTCAATAAACACAATATTTCTGATGACATAACGTCCAATAAACTCCTTTCAGTCCCGAGTGAACTTGTCGTGCAACACTGTAGGCGTCAGTAGTGAGTCCGTCAGAGAGCAAATGTACACAAATAGCCGTAAAAGAAGACTCGCCAGCAGTCGCACGCTGATGACGCGCATTCTGGAAAATGGAGAGAAAACACATGTCAGCTTTTGCTTTGTATCAAACGCTGTCAACAGACGTTCCTGCTGCTACGACGCCTTCTCGGCAGGTAATGTTGGATATTATTGAAATAATGTGGTGTAGTGTTTGGTGCTGTGCTCTGTGATAGACTCCCAGCTGCAGCAGGGGCAGTGCTGACACTAGCACAGTCCCACTGATAGTGAGCTATTGAAACCATGCTATCTGCTCTTCATTGCTCCAGGCTAACCATGCATCTATGTTCACTGTGTTTAGCCTTATGGTCACTTGTATGATGTTCTAGGTGGCAGATAAGAAGAAAAGGAAAAAGGAGAATGGGGCCAATAAGGTCCACACAGTAAAAGCTCAATTAAAGCCTGAAAGGAAGAAAATGCGAAAGAAGGTCCTTAAGTCTCCACAAAGAGAGGAGAGCCTTAAGGGAATTAAAAAAGTAAGTTTGTACATGCTGCAAAGATGGATGCCATGGGGGCTATTTTCACATCCAAGAAGTTAATCTGACTGTTAACGTTCTTTTTTTTCCAATTCTTAATTGTTTATTATCGTGTTATTTATTTTGTTCAGTTATGGTTGATCAAGTCTTTATGCTTCTGATGCAGGACGAGGAGAGCGTAAATGGAGATGGTGAGGCTCTGGATGCTTTGCTGGCCGACCTGGGAAAAGTCAACAACAGCAGGGAGAGAGCCAGCAAGCTGTTCCAGTGGCTCATCAACCCCATTCCTGCCAAGGCCTTCTTCAGGTATGGATGATTGTTTTGGCAGGGGCTCTCTCAATGCACATGCTATAGATATATCTATATCTATATTTAACCCAATATTACAACAAAGCAGACATTTTGCATAATACAAGGTGTTATCTTTGTCTTGGAGAATTCACCGACTAATGTTTTTCCTCTTTCCAAAGAGAAACATGGGAAAAGAAGCCCATTCTTGTTCAACGTAAGAATTCAGATTATTACAAGGGACTGTTCTCCACAGCAGAGTTTGATCGCATATTAAGACAGGTAAGGATCTGAAACATGACCTCATCCATGCTTACTTTATTCATAATTTCCAGACCTGGTGTTGGAATTTGTTATCATCAAGACTGATCTTTTGACACACCACAAAATTGTACACAGTTATTGTTATTATTATTATTATTATTATTATTATTATTGTTAGGAAGGTATTGTCCTTCATTTATTGTGGGAATGTTTTGTTTTTTTGGAAAACTTTAAGGGATTACTCGGAAGAGTCAGACAAACTGATTTTGCTGAATGGTTAACATTAATGTGGGACATTGGCTCTTATGACTCTGTAATCCCATGGACCAAAGATTATCATGGGAGGTTGTAATATACAATTTTTTTTATTCATACAATGAAAGAGACATAGTCGGAAATATATATTCTTATCAATGTGAAAATGAGACGCCTCATTTCTGTTGTATATTATGTTTGTTTTTTTTATTTGCACCTTTAGTGTTGCATTATGCTCTTTGATATATAATGAAGATCTGTCTCACTGATTGTCTGCGTTGTCTGATTTAAGGAGGATGTTCAGTATGGAGTGAACCTGGACGTCACGAGCTACAGTAATGGTAGAAGGGAGACACACAATCCTGCGGGGAGAGCTCTGCCGTTCACTGTGTGGGACTTCTATGGGGTAAGGCCATGCTGATGCAGGCACCGGATTTGCATACAGCATGCGATTATTACTAGGATTCTGTATTTTTACGTTCCTCATAATTGGACCCTTTGCAGCGTGTGAGCTGCACTGGCTGTTTCTATGGGGGATCATTATAGTTTCTTCTCACTTTGACATTTTCAAGGACCACCTTCATTAAAAAGCAATTGGATGTATGTTTATGCATTCAGCATTATATTGATTTTAATTTTTTCTATTCTGCAAGCTAAAAGTGATTTTGCGTTAAGTGCATTTAAAGTATCATTGCACCATCAGCATGTAATCGTATCGCCATTTCCCAGAACGGCTGCTCCCTCCGCATGCTGAATCCCCAGGCTTTCTCCTCCACCGTGTGGAATGTGCTGTCCATCCTCCAAGAGCAGTTTGGCAGCATGGCAGGAGCCAACTTGTAAGTATTTTTTGGACAGTAATTGTCTTGGATATTCACTTTGGATGCCATCAGTAACTGTTAAATCTGTGTATTTTTTATTTTTTTCTTTAAACCAGATATCTGACACCACCTGGAACACAAGGCTTTGCTCCACATTACGACGACATCGAGGCGTTTGTGGTTCAGCTGGAGGGGAAGAAACACTGGAGAGTGTACAACCCCAGGTGAGATACAGCAAGGAACCTTTTTAAAAGAGCATCATCAAGTGAAACTCAGAAGCTAGTGGATCATTTCAACATTTTGAGATGGAACACTAAGTCATGTGCACTAATCATTTGCACTTTGCAGCTAATCCAGTTTTTGCATTTTACATTTACCCCATGTGACTCATGATACACAAAATGTTTTCCTGGTAGTTTGACATAAAGTTAGTAAATAAGTGATGGAATGATTCCACAAAATACTGAAGTTGTTTTTTCTGACTTTTTTTATAGGACAGAAGATGAGGTCTTACCTGCGCTTTCAAGTGGTGAGTTAAAAAAAAAAAAAAAAAAAAGATTGATTTCATTTGTTTTTTTCTCAATTTGGTTGTAAACAGAAGTTATAGAAATATTTGTAATGTTTGTTATTGGTTACACACAGAAAGGTAGCTAATTGCACAAAGGTGAAGGAAGTTGTCGTACTCGAGGCTGCCCTCCCACGATCTCTTCAGAGCTGATAAACCATATAGTGGACAGCCGTCATTTCTCAGACGGGACTGCTTTGCGTTTCACTTCAGGAAACTTCAATCAGAAAGACATCGGGAAGCCGATCCTGGAAGTGGTGCTGGAAGCCGGAGACCTCCTTTACTTTCCCCGGGGATTCATCCACCAGGGCAACTGCCTCCCAGATGCTCACTCGCTCCACGTTACCATCTCCTCCTACCAGAAGAACAGCTGGGGGGATCTGCTACAGAAGGTAAAACTCGCATGTTAACAAAGGACAGCATCAGTGCAAGCGTACAATGGCACTTTTACTGATTACGCATCACAGGTATAGTGCAATAACCAATAGCAACAATCCATCGAAATACAATTATTATTTTTTTCAGGTGGCTCCAGCAGCATTGGAAATAGCAATGGAGGAGGATGTGGAGTTTAGACAGGGCTTACCTTTGGATTACCTGACGTACATGGGAGTACAGAACTCTGACAAGGTAGTTCATCAGTTATTGTGTTTTATTTTGCCACTTCCTGTCACCGTCACCATACTTGGCTTTTCACCAATTACCCACAATTGACCCAAGTCCTCCTCATGCACATTTGTTTGTAGGATGACCCACGCAGGACAAAATTCTTTTCCCGAATTGAGTGTCTGATGAAGAAGCTAGCAACTTACTCCCCGGTCGATGCTGCCGTGGATCAGAAAGCCAGAGCCTTCCTCCATGACTGCCTCCCTCCCATGCTCACACCAGGTATGTGATGCATACGTCAGTTCTGGGAAGAAACTCTCTTTCAGTTCACTTAATTCAGAAAAAAATTGCAGTAAGCGTTAATGATTGTAAATCGAGTTGGACAGCCTGAGATGCATTCAGTAATGCTTCTGATTCTAACGGATTCATGCCTTCTCCCGCAGAGGAATTGTCCAGCAGTGTGCAAGGAGCATCTGCTCGGTGGGAGTGTGGGCAGGTCATGGATGTAGGTGCGAAAATCACTACCCAGACCAAAGTCAGAGTTCTCCGTGCTGGATGTGCCAGGTAATACAACTCTTTATTGCATTTCAGATAATGTTCACACCAGGCAGGTTTGGAATGGGCTATTCAAAATGTGAAGTATATTGTCTTTGACTGTATGTTGTCAAGAACACCTGATTCAATGATCCATTAAAGCAGAAATGTAACTTTTTTTCCCCAGGTTATGCAGTGATGGAGAAGCTGTTAATCTTTACTACACAACAGAAAACTCCAGAGTTTACCACAAAGAGGAGCTCAAGAGTTTCGAAATAAAAGCAGAGGTAGATGGGAAGATGTTTGTAGATCATTGTTTCGTATTTAATGTCCCAATGATGTCGTCACTAACAATTGGTTTCCTTTCAGCACACAGATGCCATTGAGTTTCTGATCCATTCGTATCCCAAATTTGTGACCGTAGGAAGTTTCCCATGTGGTTCTGCAGAGGACAGGGTATGTTGTTTTAAGTGCATTCGGTCTGTGCAGCTACTGCACATTCGGGCATGTCTGTACAGCCGGGATTTAGAAGGAGGGGGTCTTGCATTTAACAATTGATTACTTCTGGTAATAGGTCTGTCATTCCTAGCCCTCTTTTAAATATCCATAGACTGATTAGAAGTCCTATTTTAGATAGATATGTATTGTAACTTATTATTTAAGCCTGTTTTTGTGAAATCAGCTGTTTGACTCATGCTCATTTTTTTTTTTTTTATCCCCAGATCACTTTGGCTGACTTGCTCTTTGAGAGGGGGATTATCCACACTGCAGAACCTCTGTAGTGGCCACAGATTCTTCAGTTATGCTGACTGCATGAATAGATTGCCTCCGTACAATTTAATGCAAAACCACTTCTCTCCCCCCCCCCCCCCCCACCCCCCCTCCGCAACCCCACCCCCACGCGC